GACAATTGAATTTGATATGATTTGTGAGCCATGTATCAAAAGTTTATGTAATGTGGGATTCATAGGAAATTTTTTATATAATTTAACATACCGAGATGCTGTTGAGAAGCAATAGTCATTAAATTTGACTGGGTCAGTTGAAAATTGATAAGAAATACACAACAAAAGTATTCTTAATCTTTGAATAAGCTCGAAGTCTATGTCTAAAATTTCATACAAGAACTTCGTATCTTCGAATCCTCTTTTTGCAACGTTTCCTGTATTACTATTGCCATAGCTTGATTTTGGCATGTCTATATGAATGTTAAGTTTGTTTTTGAATCGGCTTTGAATTTCAATCTTCCTTGCTTTTATTATTGCTTCGTTTTCTTTTTCATGCATTTGCCATTGATTTTCAGGCAAAACTAATTTATAAGAAATGTGTAACATTGCTTCGAAACAGCGTGTATGCATGTGAAGATTACTTAAACCATATTGTAGAGCTACTGGGTTAACATTAAATACTCCTTTTGTAAAATTTACTAGTTTATTCATTTCTTTTAAAGAACAACCCCACACAGTATATCGTTGAAACGAAGATGTCTTTGTAATAAATGCTTGAATCTTTCCATCTATTAACGTCAAACACAGATTACATTCAACCAATAGTTTCTTTCCAGACTTTGAAATAATCACAACCTCTTCGAGTTCAGCAATTTCTTTATCATATTTCTTCTTTAATCGAATTATGTATTCTTTACTTTCCTTTGCAAATTCGATTTTCTGTGGACGGCAAAATCTAGTAGACTGAGGAGTTTGATTAGTCCATAAAATTTTTCCACTGCTTGTTTGCAATCTTAAAGGAATCATAGATGTCACAAATAATGAACTATCATTAAAATTTTCACTTAGATCTTGATTGAACCTTGCTTGTTGAGTGCTACCGTCAAAGCCATAAGAAACTATAAATTTGCATTAAACAACATTAATTTCTGGAATTTCTTTCTCAATAAGTTCATGCTGCAATTTACTAATTCTTTCTAGAGTATGTTTTAATAAATGCTTCCATTCTACTTCAATGCAATTTTCTGATTGCAATATTTGACTTGGGCAACATTGAGATTTTTCAGCTGATACCAACTTATAAAGAGGTAAAATATCGCCACCTTGAGTTTTAGCTGCAAATCTTACTTGATTATACTGATCTTTGGACAAATTCGTATCAAAAAGAAACGATAACACTTGTTCCGGTGGCATTCTCACAACTTCAGAATTAATCTTATTTAATACAGCAGCCAAATTTTGACTTTGAATAACTTGTTTGATTAAATAAGATAAGTTTTTTTTATCATTTTGTGCAGCGACGGTTGTAGCAACTTTGAGGTACATTTCAGTTTCGGGTTCGTTATTAGATACAACATTAGCAATAACTCGGCGTTTGGATCTGGCAGACATCTTCCAAAACGGCATAGCTGGTCGTCCTCTTTTCGTTTTTCCAGAACTGGGCGGCTGAGGGTCACATTTAAGCTCTTTTGGAAGCTCGTATTCAGTTTGAAGCCAACTTCCATGGTATTTCATGAATCTTGCAGAAAAACAACCTTTCTTTCTTCAAAGTTCGTTGTATCGCTTTTTTATATTTTTTATTTTCTGTGTTACAACTTGTTTTTCTTCTTCCTTTAGATCTCTTTTAAGTTTTTCTTCACAACACAACATGCTTTTTTCAATCGCTACATAATGTTTATCATTTTGTTTTATAATTGCAACAGTTTCACTATACTTAATAATCATTTTTAAATGTATTTACACATTTCACGGATTAATTTATCTTTGAACAATGCTTTTGAATTGCGTAAGGATTATGTGTTACTGCAGTAACCAATAATCCTTACAAAGTAATTATTGGTTATATAATTTTATATAATTATTGCAGTAACCAATAAAGTAATTATTGGTTACTGCAGATAGCATTTCTATCAGTATACTAATAGAAATGCCATCTGTCATTATTTTTAGATTTTTTTTAAAAAAAAGACAAAAAAAATTTTTAAACGAAAAAACAATGAATCAAACAGTACAAGACAGACTAAGTTTTTATCAAACTTGATTGAACTAAGTTTCAAGTATTTAATGCAAGTTAGATTTCCACCGACCATCAACAGCAAAATTATATCTCAATCTTTTAAGTTATAAACATATAAAAGCGCTATGAATATATATAAATTTTTATTAGAAATAAACTAAATTAAATTAATTTTATTGCATTTATTGATAGACTAAATCATTATCTTTACATATATATATAATTTAATATTCTTAAAACAGCAGTCACAAAGTAAATGTAATAAACTAAAATTTGGATTTTTAACACATATTTCGGTCAGTTTGAGTTTGAGTCTAACGGTTACTCAACATCCAACTTTTTTTAAGTACAAACTAATCTGTTTCAGATGCAGCAACAAATCAGATTTAAATTAGCATTTAAAATTTTCAAAAATTTAAAACTTCTTATATTTTTAGATTTTTGGCCATTTTTTCCTTTGTTACGCCCTATTGTGCAGTGTTGTTTTAGTGGGTTTAAGACCTCCTCTTAGCGTAATAAGTTTTGAAACTTTTTCAATCTTGCTTATATATTTATAGCAAAAAAATAATAATATAGCAAAAAATTTTTCTTAAATTTAAAATAAAATTTTAAAGTTTTCTCATTTTATAGATATATAGATGGACGCAATTATTCCATATAATGCCTGGAAACTCAACATATGGTAAAGACATTTACACTTACAGACGTTTGTATAAAACGTTATACAAATAAAACTGAGAAGATCTTAGAGCATTAAAACATAGTCATTAAAAAAAATTCATTCTTATGATTATGATTAAGAACTTAAGAATATTAGTTGTCTACGTTGAATATTAGTTATATAGCTGTCGTCTTGCATACCTAGACAAAGGTCTATTTGCGCAGTAAGAGATGATAAAATGTATTGCGTTTTGTTTTAGTTTGAGTTGTGTCGCTGCTCGTGTGATCATGTTCTGTCATAAGGGGGTCAGGAATGGGGCTTTGTTCCGATAGGATTACGTCTTGAGGATGTACTGGTTAATCTTAGCGATGCACCATGAATCCCACAGCGTAGGTTGATGCGGGGAATCGCTCTCGTTGTTGTCGTCTTTCGTATCTGGACAAGTATCTGTGTACGCGGTGTTTGCTTGAATTTACGCCTTTTTTCGTTTGTTGTCAATTGTATCGATTTGACAAATAAATGTTAGTTCAAGCCGTTAAAGACTAATGTAAGTAAATTTAAATTCAAACCTTGCAGTTTTTTAACTTAGATTTATATTTATTTACCTAAAAAACTCGCTTAAATATATTCTGTCTTTCATTGGGGATCTGAGACACAAATGGAAACTTTTATTGTATTGTATATCTTTGATCACGCGATACTTTTTCCCCTGACTGATTATGTAAGTCAAAATATATTCTCTTAATAATTTAGGACACTTTCGAATGTTCTCTATATACTTTTTATGTTTTCTAAACACAACATTATAAACCAATCACCTTACACTTTTATCATCTAATTAATTAACACTTTCTCTGCCTAATTATTATTATGTATGCATTATTATTTACTGAGGCTTAGCTTGAGGGATATTTCGATTAACCGCAAAATACATCATACAACATCTGTGTACAATTTTACACTTTACATGCGCTTCATAAACTACTCGTTGGCATTGCTCAAAATATCCTTCAAGACTTATTCTTATTCAATATCAAATTATGGTAAGTCTTTTATCTTAAATGTTTTTCATTTTGTTGTGTGTTTGTTTGTCTTAAATTTGTTCTTGAGTACTTAGGAATAATTTAACTTATAAGTTTTTTGTATTCTAATGTTACTTCTTGCGCAAAGTGTTTTAATAATTTTCTAAAAAGTATATCAGCGTACTTTGTTTAAAATGGATCAAGTTAGGGTATTTGGTATGAGCAGTAGTATGTCCTCTCAAATGTTGCAACATAAGAAGGCTTTGACGCAGACGTAGAAATGGGTTTTATTTGCTTGTTTTAAGGATGTTACCCCGACGCAAGTTTCTAGAAATGAGCATTAAAACATTCGAAACGTCAAATACCAGTGTATTGAATCTTTATAAGGATCAATACAATGTCCACTTCCTGACGAGAATCTGGTATTATACTACATAATTTTTAATTTTATTTTAACGTTAATGTATTTTTATTTTTTTTCTTAAAACAATTAGGCGCGCGTTTCCCCTTTATATTAGATGTTTGTTTTTGCTGTTTGTTGTAACACTTCTACTTTATAGTTGTACTTTTTGTCTAAAGAATTGAGTAATTGTGTTATATTAGGTTAATTGTGTATTACATTATGCTTACCACAACGATGGCAATTGTTAATAATTGTTTTGATTTTTGTAATATGTTTTTGAATATTTATCTTATAACTTTATATAGGTTTACTTAGATGTTATTCTGTTTTTATCTGAGGCTAAAGGTATTCGGGTTGCATGAAAATAAACAGACTTGTTGTGTTTATCAATCTTTGAGTAAATAAACTAAATTTAAAACGAATATTTCTATTATATAGGTGCGGGTTTTTATAAAACAAATTCACTAAAACGATCAACTCCGTTAAGCGGTCCCAGTGGGTACGCGGACGGCTTTAGGACGTCTTTAAGACGTCCCGATCGGAAGTCTTAAATTGGTTGGATTTGGAAATACAAAAAGACGTCCTGCGTGGAACGTTTTAAAGACGTCCCAGAAGGAACGTGAAAAAGACGTCCTGAGAGGAACGCAAAAAAGACGCCTTACGAGGAACATAAAAAAGACGTCCCGATAGTACTAAGAAACTGAGTTTAGTTTAAGTTACAGTTTAGAAATAATGAAAAACATTAGGTATGGAATGCTATAAATAGGTCTTACTTAGTGCGTATTTTTTTATACGTTAATTTTTAGACTTATTAATTTCAAATACTATTAGAAAAACAAGAATTCAACACAAAAATTAGTAAATTGAAATTTATTTACAGAAATTAATTACAAATTAGGTTCGATGCATCTATCACTTCCACTATCGTCAATTTCTAGCACCAAATTTTTTCGATCTGAACCACGTTTAAAAATGTTGCCAGCAGATAAATGCACTTCATTCTAAAAACACAGTCTAATAAATAAGCTATAATATTATATACAAAATTTTCAAAGTCAACTTTTGCAACTGATTAAATAAGAGTTCACAGTTGATTTTTGTGCAAGTGTGAGTTTGCAGTATTTAAAAATTCCTCAAAACTAAGCATACAAAATACAATACAAAATATATTACATTAACAGGTATACCTATAATTGTCTTCATGAAATTTGTTTCACAAAAACTTTTTTTTTTACCAGCTAAGTTTAATAAACTCATCAGTTTATTTCACATTAATCTAAATAAACAAATGACAAAAATAAAATCAGATCATAAGCAGTTTAAAAATTATGAATATAAGTTCATTTACAAGTCCAAATTACCCAGCTAGCATTTGGTCCAAAAAGAATGTTTTTCAGGACCAAATGTGGGCCAGGTATGTTCTGCTAAAAAACATTTAAAAAGTTTTTTTAGCAGAATATAATTTCTAAACTTATAACATATAACATTCTACAATTATATATCACAAATGTGTTTAAGATTTACATCCATGTTTCCACACTTGTATGGTTCAGATGGTTCTCCATAGTAATGGCTCTCTCAAAAAGATTTGCAGCAATATTTTACAAACAGATGCCCAAAAGTCGTATGGATGGCGTACAACCTGCTTAAGCAGGATGTACTACATGGTACCAGTAGCAAGATAACCTGACTTGACGCTTGACAAACAGACCTAAAAAATATGGATATGAAAAGAAATTAGGTCATGCACAAAAAGAAAACAGTAGAAAAAACATTAATGACATTAAAGAAGACAGACATCGATATCTGTATTCTGTGTCATAAATATTTAATATTTGTGACAATAAAAACTGAAACTACAAATATATATTTTTATTCTATTTTAGTATAAAAATGTATAACTTATAATATTTTTTTTCTGTTAATTTATTTAAGCTCTTACCTTAAAAAACCTTTATACAGTTAGTGGCAAAGGCAGGTTTTTTTAGGTTCCATATTTGACACTTTCAGGCTTTGTGCATACTTCAAACTTTTTATGTCTGCCTGGAATGACAATGAAAAAAATAAATTATAATCTATTATTTGTTATAAATAATACATAGGTGCTTAAAAACTAAAATACCCAAAAAATTTTGCTCTCCTATATCTGAATATGAGGGAAATGAGTTCATATTAGCATTCAAAAGTTATGATGCAATTTGCAACCTCCTCATTTAAGGAGGGAAACTAATCTTTATATGGTCAAAACTTTTGAAAGCTAAAATACTAATAAAGTTACAAACCTGTTGATGAAATTTAATTTAATATTAAATAAAATACTTTTATTTATAGAACTCATTTCCCTCACATTCAGGGATGGGAAAGGGCAAAACGTTGTCATTTGACATAAGGATAAAAATAATTAAGTTTGCAGATTGGACAATGTGCTTGAAAATGTCTTATGTGAATAGATAAAAAAATACAACCTATGCTATTGCACATGCATTTTATGTAAATGCATGTGCAATAGCATAATGTATCTATAGTGTAATGTATACAGATAAACAATAACCATAATAAATAACAAAACAAAACTTATTAGTTAATTATTAAGTAATTATTATTAAAAATTATTTGCATAGCAAGACAAAATACAAAAAGTAAACACATACTTAACAATCGACACTTTCACAGTGGCATAACTAAAATTACCACCAACATTTGATAACTGAAGCCTCAAAAAAAATACAGTTAAGAATAAATAGTATTTTATTCAACACGGAAATGTTTTAGTTCAAAATCATAGTTCTAAATCAAGAATTGGGTTGAAGCTGGCAACCAAATTGAAAAAGCAAAGTAGACAGATAAAACCATGCCGATACAACATTTAATCATCATATCCGGTGTAAACAATTTGATTTACGTTTAAGGAGAGTATTACATATGAGGAGAGTATTATGTATTACTATATTCTTTTCTACTTGTTTATCTATCATATTTAATGATCGTCTGTTAGAATATAAAAAATTGCAAATAAAAATCCAAAATTTCAATAAAAAACAAAAAACTTTCATTAGCAAATATACATTCGTAACATATTACTGGGTGTTGTAGGGACCTTGTCTTTTTCATATCTTTGTTTTTATAACAAATTGTATACATTTTGATAAGAATTGGAAAAGTTATAACATTTGAAGTTACGAAAAACTATCAATTTTGTCATTATTTTTTCAAGAAATCTTTATAAAATTTTCTACTAAAAATATCATGTAAAATTTTGATTTTTTCACCATTAAAATATAAAACAATTATATTCTAACATTAATAAATGTATTATTTAATTTGTTTGTGCACTAAATGTTAAATCATTGATATATTAATAAAGCTTTATCATACGTATTTTTATTAAATGTTGCAAAAGTATATTAAATTAAATTTAAAAAATATATATATAAAAAGTGCAACTTTCAGCATAATATTCAAAATTCTATGTAGATGGAATGTAAAAATAATAATCATAAGAATACAGTAAACTCCCAATATCTCAAACCTCAGATAACTTGAACTTTCCTGTAACTCAAAGTACTTTCGATTATTATAAGTAGTACACATATAATTTTTTTTTTACTGTTATATCTTGTTACTATATTATTTATGTATGTTACTATATTATATATGAATCGATTCATATATATCATATTGTCATATATATCATATTATGATATATAATATAGATACATGCATCTATAATATAGTAACAGGGACTAGGTTACTGACAGTTAACTTCAAAGAAAATATAATTACATATATATAAAAATAATGAAAATTTAGATTTATTGACTGATTTTTATTATATTATTACTGTATGAGTATAAAATCTTAATTTTATAATTTTATTTCCTGACATTTATATTTTAAGTATTACCTTTAAAAAAAAAACTATAATACTTAAAATATAAATGACAGTAAATAAAATAATTTTATACTCATACAGTAATATAATAAAAAAATTAGTTAATCAATCTAAATTTCATTATTTTTATATATATATCTAATATGACATAAAAAATATAAAATATATAAAAATAAAGAAAATTTAATGACATATAAAGTAAAAAAAAACATGTTACGACATTTATATGTCATATAAAGTGTTATATAGTTTTTCTTACTATATACACAATCTTTGTATATTTTATTTATCTATATACATATCTAAATATAAAACACATATGTTATCTAACAATTATTCAATAAGTAATTGTGACCTCTTCATACGAGAAAGGCCATTATTAAAACACCTTTTAATAATTTTAATAATGACATTTCGCGTCATTAGACATAATAGAAAGGTTTTACAAAACTGAAAGTGATAAATTTTCCAATTATCGGAACGGAAGAGAAAAAGACGTTCATAAGACGTGTTATTATTGTTCATATTGTGAATAAATCGAGCGGACGTGAACTGAACGTACATAAGACGTCTTTTTTCCGTCGTGTGCCCACTGGGGTATGAAATATAGTTGAACCTGAATTAAGTTAAACAAAACTGGAATTAAGTAAAAACAATAACTTTTTCTAAAATAATCAATTACTTCCTTTATCTAAGCCATTTACGGCCAAATATGTTCCACTAGAGACTATAATCACTTGTTCTAGTTGCGAACCTGATATATAAAGAAAACATAATCGGAACTGAGCGATACTGAGAATCAAATTATTTACGAACACACACTAGAAATTAGATGACACATAAAACTTTATTGTTTAGAACAGTACAAACACAAAACACAATAACTTACAGAACACTGCAATAACACTTACTTAAATCTAACATAAACAACACTCACTTAACTCAAATGTATTTACTGAATAGCATTCAGTAAATACATTTTAGCCATTTCTAGCCATTTCTTGCACTTATATAAAATATTTCTTGCTTCTCTTAAGACTATTACGGCCTGATGGTTCCATATAAGTGGTGGAACTTTAATAACTTCCACTGCGAAATAATAACAATTTATTACTCTACCGTCCCACTATTGTGATCGGGATGCGGAACTTGGGCAACAACTTCTTTGGACAAATAACTATATACACATCCTGCACACTTTGTATCTGATTTTAAACCGTCTTTTTCCACTTTTTCTTAACTTAATCAAGTCTTATATGCAAACCAGACTTATGTTAACCCAAACGGAATTTAAAACACAACAGAAGTCGCAAAAATTATGAGACATCAATAGTTGAAACTTAAAAATACCGCGGACACTAATATTGTGTATAAAACGGTTTGTTTAAATTGCAGTGTATTATAATATGGTTCGTGCCGCTGCTCGGGTGGCTGTGTATCGTTAAGAGGAAGTTGGTAATGAGGCTTTGTTCCGATAGGTTTACGTTTTGAGGATGTACTGGTTAATCTTAGCGATGTACCATGAATCCAACAGCGTAGGCTGATGCGGGGAATCGCTTTCGTTGTTGCCGCCTTGCATACCTGGACAAGAGTCTTTAATCAATTTCAAATGTAAAACTATGTGTATAGAAAAGTTAACATAGTAGTTTATCGAGCATTTTTTTGTAGACTTATTTATTATATTTAAAATAATACGAAGAATCTGTAAAAATACATATAATCTTCCATAAACAAAAAATATAACTCCTATTTCAACATATTAACACATTAAAACATTCAACTTTTGACCAATTAAGCCATGATCCTTGGTTACTTAACTGAATATTTTAGTGTAGACTGAATAAAACGTAAAAATATTCCAGTGTACGCGACATTTAGTTTTAATAGTCGCGCAAATAATACACCAAATTGAGCCGCGTTACGGAGAATTTAAAAAAAAGACTGGATTGAGTTTACTAGGGAAATAATTCAAGTCGTCGAAGTATAAACAAACAATATAAACGAAGCCGAAACAAATATAAAACATGTATAAATTAAAATGAATTATGATATCGTTTGCAGTATGAAAGTTGAAGAATTAAAGTCTTATTTACGTCTTCGTGGCTTGAAAATATCTGTAATATATCTGTAACAAAAAATCTGTAAAATATCTGTAAAAAAAGAAATTCTTTTTGCTAGAGTCTAATATGCATAATAGACTCTAGCAAAAAGAATTTCTTTTTTTCCAGATATTTTTATGCCACGAAGACGTAAATAAGACTTCAATTCTTCAACTTTCATACTGCAAACGATATCATAATCCATTGCATATATGCAATGAAAAACAATGTTACCCCTATTAAAACAGCTGAAGAGGTGGAACATTATATATGTACTGAGTACAAAAAAAAAACTTTTCGTAAACGGTGTTGAACTACCTGATCCTTTCAAGCTCATTAATGGTTGGTTATCAGAAGACGAAGGTCTAACTTTTAAGCCAACATTATTATATCCTGATATTTACAGATATTTATTATTTAACCCTGCTGAAATTGCCAGTAAAGACTTAACTGATTACAAAACATCTAAAGCCTATAGTTACTTTAAATGTGGTTGACTTGAAAATTTATTTTACCACCAAGTTGGAATAGATAGTGAATACTGTTATTTAAAAGAAAACTGTAGGAAATCTGAAAAAAATTAATGATCTCTTTCCACGGTTTGTAAATTTGGGACCCTAATATCAATGAAATACCCTATGAAAACCCTTTTAAGGGGGGATTGTACATAACAATGGATGGCCATACAGAGTGATTTTGAAATCCTGCATTAACATCCAATGGAGATTTTTTACCTTGAAGTTTTGAAGAAAATAAGAATTTTAAGCAACATTTGGCAGCCTATTTGTAGTACAAAAATACATTTCTGATTTTTTATCATAAAACAGAAAATGTTAAAAACATAAATTGGGAGCTTTTTTATTTTATTCATTTATTTTCTTAATGATCGCATTTAGAAGATAAACAACAATTTCTATAATTCCATTAAAAATTATAATGCTCTCTAGAGACGAATCATCTTAACAAAATAAAGGCACTAAAATATCACAAATCTGTTAAGAGTATTCCTAGGATTTTTTTAACACTGTTCTTTAGATCTAGATTTTCTTGCTGTTGTATTCGATTACACACTTTAGGAGTTGGCTGGCATAGTCTGGATGTGAGGAATCTTGTTTGTATTTCTCCCAATGAACTTTGAAATTGGAGTGCGGAGCTTCTGTTGCCTGCTCACTGAAGAGACCCAATCCTGTTTTCTTGATTTTGATGAACTGAGGTACATGGTAAAACACTGCATGTACTTTTGGAGTAACTGAAATTGGTAGGCGGATGTAGCTTTGTTTGAACTTGGAGATCTTCGATTCATAATCAGGATCCAAATTATTGTCAAAGCAAGATATGACCACATCCTTAAATAGTGCAAGTGTTTGCATGAAGTCATGAGCTTGATTAAAATTGTTGTATCCTGTGACCAATTGCAACTTGTCTAAACCTCTCAAGAGCTTCATGCAGTCATTCCCATTGAAATGTCTACCATGGTAGGGCTGAATAGGAATATGAAGTGAAGCTGGCCATTTCTCGGCCCCTGGCCAAATTTTGCAAAGATTTTTATACAAATGGTTTATTACTCCAAGTAACAAATGGAGCTCCATGGGAGGGATAGCTTCAAGCACAAGCTTGTGATCAGGAAAATCAACCAATGGTACGTGAATGACATTTTTGAACTCCTTTGATTTTCTTGTATCTCCTCCTGCGTTGATGAATTCAAAATGTTGCCTCCTAATCTCGCCAAAAGTTCGAGGACTTCCACAGTTTTGGAGGTTTAAAGACGAAACATCACACCAACAACATGGGTGTTTGCTGCTATGGGATTGAATGCCACACAGAATATTTGCCAACTTTAGGTCACATGATATGACCAGAGAATCCATCTGACATTTCTCTTGTACTTGGATGAGGTCAAAAATTGCCTTCACATTATGGTAGTTCTCTGGAGTGTTTTGTGCAATTGCTACCAGTAGTTGCTGCTTGACACTTGTTGATTTAGTTGTTTGTGGAGACATCAATTTGATTGTTTTCTGCAGTGGGCTATGTGGCGGTGTCTCACCTTCATCCACAATGATGTGTGTGAAACTGACTTTCAAAAAAGATCCTCCACCATCAATCCCTAGTTTCAAAATTGC